TAAGCGACACCTGCTGACAGTCATTACTGTCCTAGGGAAAGCCTGTTTGCCGTCCTGGGAGTGTACTGGAGACGTTCTGGTGAGGAGGACTAAGCCTTACACTTGCTAGGCAAGCACTGTAGTGCTGAGTGAATCCCTACCCCCAACTTGTAGAGCTTCCAGTAGCAGCAGTGTTCCACTTCTGATGTTTGATGGCACTGTTTGCTTTTGTACTTGATCATCCAGCTGGTGGCACAGCGCCTTCTGTGCTCTCCAGTCAGCGTCCTGGTGGAGACGGGTTGCTGTGTGGAGGGACATGAAGTAGCCCTGGCATTCTCAAGGTCTTGCTAATAATTGGGTTGGTGAAGTTCAGAAAGGTTCCCGATGATACTATACTATAACCTTACCTGAAAATGGAAGGGGCTGGAAAGATGGCTCAGCAGTTAAGAGCACTGGCTGCTCTTCCAGAGGTCCTGAGTCTAATTCCCGGCAATCACGTGGTGTCTCACAACCATCTGTGATGATATCTGGTGCCCCCTTTTGGCCTGCAGGTGTACATGCAGCTAATGAATCTTAAATTGAAATTTATTCTATTTGCACAAGATAAGTGCACACCTTTAATCCCAGCACCCGGGAGACAGAGGCAGGTGGACCTCTGTGAGTTTGAGGCCAGCCTGGTCTACAGAGTGAGTTCCAGGACAGCCAGGGCTACACAGAGAAACCCTGCCATGAAAACAGACAAGAACTTCTCATGTGGGCATGACAGTATGTACCATGTACCTGCAGTCCTAGGACTCATGAGGTGAAGGCAGGAGGATTGCTGGTTTGAGGCCAGCTTGGGGGCCTCCTTATAAGGAAGAGCAGCGTTTCTTGTTGGTTCTCATTCTGATTTTGTCTGTACTGAAGGAAGGATTGCCAGGAGAGTTTGAGAAAGGAATTGTGATCCGTTGAATCCTCTGAATGTATAAAGGGCTCAGAAGTGCCCTATGAGAGCAAGTGTGCTGAGCTTCCTGTTCCGCCTGCTTGTTCCCTGACTATCGCCCCTCCTCTTCTAGAGGCGCTGGGACCCCCCTCTTTTCTAGAGGTACTGGAACCTCCCTCCTCTCTTCTAGAGGCGCTGGGACCTCTCCTCCTCTCTTCTAGAGGCTCTGGGACCTCTCCTCCTCTCTTCTAGAGGCGCTGGGACCTCTCCTCCTCTCTTCTAGAGGCGCTGGGACCTCCCCGCTCTTCTAGAGACATTGGGACCTCCCCTCCTCTCTAGAAGCATGCACTATCCTCAGTTGCCTATTCTTGTTTAGGAAGTGGTGGACTTTTTCTCACCCTGTTTTTGTTTGCTTGTAGGCATTCATTTCAGTAAAAGGAGGGTCCTAGTTTTCAGAGGAAAGGATCCATGGGAACAAAGCTGGTCTCTATCGTTTACAAAACAAAGTTGGGGGGCTGGAGAGATGGCTCAGTGGTTAAGAGCGCTGACTGCTTTTCCAGAGGTCCTGAGTTCAATTTCCAGCACCCACATGGTGGCTCAAAACTAATTTCCAGGGGGCCCGATATCAATGGCAAAACACCAATGCACATAAAATAAAAATAAATAAATTAGAGAAAATGTACTTGCTGAACAAGCATGACAATTTGAATTCAGAGTTCCAGCACCCTCAGCAAAGTCAGGCACATGCTTATAATCCCAGCACTGGGGGAGCAGAGACAAGAGAGACCCAAGTTTTGCTATCCAGCCAGTGGAGTTGTGTTAGTGAGCTTCAGGTCCAGTGAGAGACACTATCTCGGAAAATAAGGTGGAGAGCAATGAAAAAGACACTTGACATCCCTTCTGTCACAACCCACCCCCTCCAGTAAGAATTAAAAAGAGCAGAGTTGCTTCACACTTCGTTTGTTTTCAACTCCTGTTTAGGGCTTGGGCTGTAGTCGAAGGTAAAGTCTGGGGATTCCTTCTTCCTTATGTGGAACAAAGGGTAAACCTGTCCTCAGCCCTCTGAAGCTTTCCTGGTTTTCACCTGTATTTACATCCTCAGGGACACAGAAGTGTGGTTAGCCCGTGACCTTCACAAGTGCAGGCTTTTGACAGGTGGTAAAGGCTGAGAGTCTCTCCAGGAGCTGCGTTGATTTTGGAGGCAGTGTAGCTTGTGACACTATCTACCCAAGTATGCTCACAGTTTCCCCTTTTGTGTCTGTTCTTCAAGCTGATGAAGGAGTGTCAGACTAGCGCCTCTCTGGGCGTCTGCTGTCCTTCCAGGGCTTTAACTGAGAGTGCTCTGCTTGCCATTGTCATTTTCTGAACTTCAACATTATCTAGATGCTGATGTAGCCTGCTGCTGTCGGATGGATGTTTGCAGAGGTAGGCAAGCGTTGTGAGTGCCATGGTTGAAATGTCTGCCCCCCAGGCCCACAGGAGAGATGTGACGTGCTAGTTGGCTGCCTGTGCGAGTGGCTGATGCAGTACTGAGCTTTGGGACTCTAACTTCTGTAGTCCATGGCCAGCAAGTCTGCTTCATCCCTAGCATTTGCTCAGCACACACGAGTCCTGACAAGTGGCCGAAGTGAGCACTGGGTGGGCCAGAGACCCAACACCATCTGCGTGTAGCGAGAGCTGTGGGGACTTCTGGGAAGGCGGTCCTCAATAATCCACAGCTGCGAAATGAGTCTCTAGGCTGTCGGAGCTTCCTGTGGGCCATCCCTCAGTCCACAGGTATCACTTTCTTGAATTTGCTTATCATGCCGGTTAATTTTCATTTCTGTGTATCCTCTTGTGTCATAGGATACTGTTTTGCATGGTTGCCAGCGTCTAAAAGGAATTTCATTACTAAAATTACAAAGGAATACCATTTATGTACTGTAAAAAAATACAAAAATAAAACTTGTGGGCCAGCAAGCTGGCTCAGAGAGTAACTGCATTTGCTGCCTGACAACCTGAGCTCCATCTGGGACCCACATGGTGGAGGGAGAGAGCCAGCTTGGCCTTGGCATGAGTGCACCTTCCCTCGGTGAATAAATAACGTGATGGGAGAACGTGCACATGATGATTAGTATGGACAAGGAAGGACACCTTTGAAACGCAGCTTAGAGAGAGAGGGACCGTGGGGGCGAAGCTCATAAGTATAAACTTGGAACCTAAACTGTTAGCATCTAAGATAAGAATGAACATAAATAAACACAAGGAAAACTAGTGATGGAGGACAGAGCACGTTGCTTATTGTGACAGAAGATAGCAACTCTGAGATGCAATAGCAAGAGGAGGTTCATTTGCCTTGCTTGTCCCAGACTAGCAGGCTCAGCTTTGAAGAAGTAGGCTTACGTTGATCCAGTTGAAAAGATGAGAAAGGATTTGGGAGTCATTCGCTAGCAGGGCCGTCTGTTGAGTCAGTGCTTGGGAAGAATGTGTAGACTAAACTCCTGTCTTAGGTGTGCTAGCAAACCGAGCAAGCACGGCTGCCGAGAAAGTGTGTCACAGACTCCAGGACTGCCGAGAAGAAGATAGGAGCCAGGTGGGTTGCTGAGGAGGTCTCCAGGAAAGGGAGGAAGATGGGAGCCGAGCGTGGACCAGAGAAGACTGGCCTGAGTCTCCCGGCCGGGTTTTTTTTTTTTTTTAATTTATTACAGATTTCTGTCTCTTCCCCACCTCCGCCTCCCCTTTCCCTCCCCCTCCCCCAATCAAGTCCCCCTCCCTCGTCAGCCCAAAGAGCGGGGTTTTGTTGATGGCGCACTCAGAGCTCTAGACCAGCAGTTCTCTTCTGCGATTCTTTTAGGTGAGCATTTAGACTCCATGTCTCAAAGTGAGGCAGGATCCATCCTTTTGGGACGACCTTTTGGGACGACCACAGGTATCGGTTTGCTCATGGATCCCATCAGCTTGTCACTGTTTCAGAGTCCACAGAGTGCCTCTGTTGCTTTTAGTGCTATGAAAAAATAGGCTGCTTTTTTTCCCCAGCTGCTGCCCTGTTCCTCCATCACTACCGTGATTTAGACCAACAGTGTTGAGCCTGTGGGTTGCAATCCCTTTGTAGGTAGAACGATCCTTTCTCAGGGGACACCTAAGACTTGGAGAACACAAATATTTACTTGACAATTCACAACAGTAGGAAAATTGCAGTTATGAAGTAGCAATGAAAATAATTTTACGGTTGGAGGGAGTCACCATAACATGAGGAGCTGTATTGAAGGGCTGCAGCTCCAGGAAGTTGAGAGCCGCTGCTTCAGAGCATCTTTCCCCAATCTGTTATGTTTATTTTATTTTGAAAGGCACATTAGAAGGTTACTTTCTGGCGTTGACAGACAGGTTACTGCACTTGCGTGGGTTCTCTCTGGCCTCTTGTAGCTTGCAGAACCCTCCCAGTGGTTCTTGCTTTGGTTTTTACTGAGTCCCAGGTGTTCCTCTGAGCTTGGATTTGTGAGGTGTTTTTGCAGCCCTCTGCTTTGTTCTCTATCCTTGCTGAAAGCATTCCTGGCTGTCTGTTTTTACCCATCTGCCTGTCTCCATATACATACAGACTTAGAAGGACTTGAGGAAGCTTCATTTTCTAGTTTCTTTCTTTTTTAAAAAATTTATTTAACTTAATTTATTTGCCTTGGTGTGAAGGTGTCTGAGCTCCCCCGGAGCTGGAGTTACAGACAGTTGTGCTTCCGTGTGGGTGCGGGGAATTGAACCCAGGTCCTTTGGAAGAACAGCTAGTGCTATTAATCACTGAGCTATCTCTCCAGCCCCTGTTTTTGGGTTTTGAGATTGGGTTTCTCTATGTAGCCCTGGCTTTCCTGGAACCCACAATACATTGTCAGTAAGGTGGTGGCTATCATAGTAGAAGAAGAGGTCTTGCCAGGTGGTGGTGGCACACGCCTTTAATCCCAGCACTCGGGAGGCAGAGGCAAGTGGATCTCTGAGTTTGAGGCCAGCCTGGTCTACAAGAGCTGGTCCCAGATCTGTGTGTGGCGTGAAGACCAGGGATGATTGACTGTGGTAGTGCCAATTCATTTATCGTGTTGCCCTAGAAACAGTGCTTTCCTGTCACTCTTCGCAGGTTCACCAAGAATCTTTCCCCAGACAAGATCAACTTGAGCACCCTGAAAGGGGAGGGTCAGTTGACCAATCTGGAGCTAGATGAAGAGGTTCTGCAGAATGTGCTGGAACTGCCTACCTGGCTGGCCATTACCAGGGTCTACTGCAACAGGGCCTCCATCCGGGTGAGCATGGGGTCCAAGTGCTGCTGCTGTCTTGGACCAGGAGGCTTGTTTTCTTGAGGAACAGCTGTCACATGCTGTGTCTTTGCTTTGTTCTTTCAGATCCAGTGGACCAAGTTGAAGACACATCCAATTTGCTTGGTAATGACCTTTTATACTTGCAAGTAATCTTTTGCGTTTTAATTTTCTACCACCACCGCCCAACCTTCTTTGTTTTTTTAAATAATGATTTTTACGTCTCAAGATCTATCCTTGCATTTTCTTTGGGACCCAGACAGAAAGTTAGAAGTGTGGTTTGTGTTGGCTGGGGCGGCTTGTAGCAGTCTGCTGTCTTGCTGGTGCTGTGCGAGGGTTGTGTGGATGCTTAGCTCTGCGTAACTCTTCTTCCAGTGTCTAGATAAGGTGGAGGTGGAGATGCAGACCTGTGAGGACCCTCGCCCCCCAAACGGACAGTCTCCCATTGCCCTTGCTTCGGGACAGAGGTTAGTGACTGAGCCCCGACAAAGGATTGTGAGTGACTGTCTGTTACTGTGCCCAGGCTGGTTTCAGTTTATGAGTACTGGGATTCTAAGTGTGCCGCACTTTCACACATACAACTAAAGCAGATAGGTTAGTGTATCACACCCCTGTTTCAAATATCAAACCTCAACAATTACCAACATTTTGCCAGTCTTTTTCCTGTGTGTTCCAGGACTTGAAGGCAAATCTCAGGTGCCATATTGTACCTCTGTGTTACTAACAGCAGTATGAACTTGGGGACACAGAGTGTCGAACTGAGTATGACACAGAGTGTCGAACTGAGTACGTTCCATTATATGGTAGCCCAGGGTCCCTTTGAATTCTCTGTGGGTAGCTCGGGCTGGCCTTGAACTCCTGATCCCAGGATTTCAGACTGTGCCACCATGCCCAGCTTCCCTCTCATTTGACTGTCACTCACTGGGGTGCTTGGCTTTTGTGAACATGCATCAGATGTGTTTGTGAGGCTGTGTGCTCTCTCGGGGAGCACCATCAGATGTGTTTGTGAGGCTGTGTGTTCTCTCGGGGAGCACCATCAGATGTGTTTGTGAGGCTGTGTGCTCTCGGGTGAACGCCTAGGGATGAACTTGCATGGTGATAAGGGTATATGGGGAGTTTTGATTTTGGAAGAAACTGTCAAATTCTTCCCAACAGTTTACCAAATTGTATCTGTTTTTAATGTTTTGTATATTTTTTTCTTGTCCTGTATTTACATTTCTCTTTTGGCAGGAATATAACTAACTAAAGGAATATAACTTCTCAATGTTTTTGTCTTTTTTTTTTTTTTTTTGAGACATGTTATCACTGTATCTTGCCTGGAACTTGATGGCCTCAAACTCAGAGAGATCTGCCTGCCTCTGTCTCTTCAGTGCTGAGTTAAAGGTGTCCTCGAGGCACAGCATTGCTCTTCTCCTTAAAGCAGACGGGTCAGTGGGTAAAGTACGTGCTCTGTAAGCATGAGGTGTGGAGTTCGCATCGCCAGCTCCTGTGTAAGGCCAGAGAGTGGGAACCCACTTGTAACCTCAGCTCTGGGTGGGAAAAGAGGATCCCCAGAGGAAGCTGGCATTTGCTTGCCTCTGCTTCTTGAGTGCTGGGATTCCAGGTGTGAGCCACAGCTGTTTTCATTATTGTTCTATTAGGGATGAATCCAGGGCCTGTAGCGTGGCAGGCAAGTGATCGACCACCTAGCTGTACTCTACAGTGTCTCTATAGTTTGGATTTATGTGTGTTAGTGTTATTTTTTCTGTGAACTGTGTATACTTCGTTCTATTTTTATTGGGCTGTGGGACCTTTTATTATCCTATGTGACTAAATTGCATATAAGTGTGTGGCTTCTTGGGGAACGAGCTTTCTGGCTATGCTAGGCAGGTGGGGGAGCACTGGCTATAGTAGGCAGGTGGAGGGAGAGCTTTGGCTATAGTAGGCAGGTGGAGGGCGTAGTATTCTTGACTTGAATTAACACTATAAACCCCTCCTGACCTGTCTGAGTTTCTTTCTTCTTCCTATTCCCTTTTTACAGTATTCTGTGTCTTTGAAGATTTTATAGAAAATTAGAGGTCTGGAGAGATGACTCTGAGATTAAGAGCACTGGCTGCTCTTTTAGTAGATCTGAGTTTGGTTCTTAACACCCACTTGGCATCTGTTACCATCCTTAACTCCATTTTCTGGGATCCAGCTCCCTCTTGTGGACTCTGTGGGCACTGCAAGCATGTGATGTGTGATAGGCATGTATGTCGGCAGTATACTCAAACATTTAAGCAAACACAGAAACAAAATATTAAGAAAAACCCCAAGCAAAAAATTTAGAGGGGAAAAACAACAAGGAGAGCAGAAAGAAAAGTAAGCAGTCATGTTTATAGCAGAGTCTCTGTCTCTGGAATAGTCCCATCCCTGCAGCCCCTGGGTCTGATCTCTCTCCTTCCTCCGTTGCAGTGAGTATGGCTTTGCTGAGAAGGTGGTGGAGGGGATGTTTATCATTGTCAATTCCATCACCATCAAGATCCACTCCAAGGCCTTCCATGCTTCTTTTGAACTGTGGCAGCTCCAGGGCTATAGTGTCAACCCCAACTGGCAGCAGAGTGACCTGCGTCTGACCCGCATCACCGATCCCCGTCGAGGAGAGGTGACCGTCCTAGTGTTCTGAGGGGAACGAGTGGAGGGATTGGAAGTAGAGGAAAACCAAGACCTCCAGTTAGGATGCTGGCTGAGAGACCACTCGCCTTGTCTCTCTTTCCCCTCAGCTCTTCCATCTTCTGGTTCATCTGATCACAGAATCAAGGGATTTTATTTTCCCTCCTTCCAGGTTTTAACATTTAAGGAAATAACTTGGCAGACACTTCGAATTGAGGCAGATGCCACAGATAATGGGGATCAGGACCCAGTTACCACTCCACTGAGGCTCATTACCAACCAAGGCCGGATCCAAATAGCCCTTAAGAGAAGAGTGAGTGTGTGCGCCCCAGGCTGGGGAACTTCTGCCACTATCCACATTGTTGTTAGCCCCACCAGTGTGAGAGGAGCTTTCCGTCGTTTGGGTACTTCTAGAAACCAGTTTCTACCCGTATTTATTATGTATACTCTTGGCCTAAGCATCTTGAGGTTGACTGCTACTTTTTCTTAAAGAAGCAAATCTGAGTAACTCTGTAAGAAATAGGTTTTCCAAAATGCTTGAATGGTTTCTTTTTATCTCCTGGAAGGTGAAAAGCTGCCTGGGAAAACCAGGCCACAGTCACTTTAAGGCCTTGGAAGATACAAGATGCTGACCTGTGTTCTCTGTGGCCCCTCAGACCAAAGATTGCAATGTGGTTGCCTCCAAGTTGACGTTCCTGCTGGATGACCTGCTCTGGGTGCTGACTGACTCACAGCTCAAGGCGATGATGAAGTATGCCGAGTCGCTGAGTGAGGCCATGGAGAAGTCAGCCCAGCAGAGGAAGAGCCTGGCTCCTGAGCCTGTGCAGGTTAGAGACGACTGCACAGCTTGTGGGGCTGGGGAAGCTGTTGGCCAGCTCTGATTTATGCTAGTGTCGGCAGAATGAAGACTGTGTTGGCTTGCTCACGGAGCTCACCAGTTGTGTTGCTTATACTTGTCCTCTTTCATTTGCTGTGTCCGCTGGATCCTCCCGTATGTCAGATGGAGCCACCTTCCAGAGAAAGGAGGTGGCATGAGCCCCTGGTTCCTCCCCTTGGGATTTGCACTGTCTGGAGCATAGACAGTGGACAGATTGTTAATGTGTGGTGTGCCAGGTTCTGTAGCAGGCAGACCCCGTGCTGCGAAAGCGTGGAGAAAGGGCACTGCCCATCTGGCACAGCAGCACCCTTAGGGAGGACATTCTAGAGGAGATGACTGGGGTCAGCGCAGTCCTGGTAGCTGAGAGCTTGCAGGGCAACTTGTTATAAGAGATTTCTGTCCCACCAGGTCCCGTAGCCGTTTAGTTCCAAATAAACAACAGAGTCTTACATCAATTATAAACCAGTTGGCCTAGTAGCTCAGGCTTTTATTCAATAATTCTTATATCTTAAATTAGCCCATAATTCTTGTCTGTGGAGCCACATGGCTTGGTTCCTTTTATCAGTGAGGAATTCTCATCTTGCTTCCTTTGTGTCTGACTTCTTCTGTGTCGACTGCAGACTGACTTTTTCCTCTTCTCAGAATTCTCCTGTTCTGGTTACCCTGCCTCTACTTCCAACCTGGCTACTGGCCAATTGGCATTTTATTAAACCAGTACAACAGACAGATCTTTACAGGGCACAAGACCAGTGTCCCACAGCAGCAGCTCAACCCGAGGATACCCTGGGACGGCTGCTAGACTGGGTTGCGTCCTTGGGTAGTGCTGAGTGAGAGACTGGGCAGCAGTTAGGAGACAGAAGGGGTGCTGTTAAATTGTGGTTTTATTCATGTGGACTTAAGCTTCAGGAAGCAGCAGAAAAAGCCTCTCAGAGCATGGACTTGATGTCTGTCTGTCTTTTAAATATATAATTTATTTTCATTTTATGTGCCTTGGTGTTTTGCCTGCATGTATGCCTGTGTGAGGGTATTTGAAGCCCTGGGACTGGAGTTACAGACAGTTGTGAGCTGTCATGTGGGTGCTGGGAACTGAACCTGGGTCCAGTGGAAGAGCAGCCAGGGCTCTCAACCACCCAGCCACCTCCTCAGTTCCTGATGTTTTTCTCTCCATCACATGTAGCTCACTCCACCTGCTCCCAGTGCCCAGCAGACCTGGGCCCAGGCATTCAGTGGGAGCCAGGGCAACAGCAATAGCAACAGTAGCAGCAGCCGCCTCAGCCAGTACTTCGAGAGGTTCGACGTGAAGGAATCTTCCTACCATCTCCTCATCTCCCGCCTGGACCTGCACATCTGTGACGACAGCCCGTCCCGGGAGCCAGGTACCCATGCAGCCTGCGCCCAGCTGGCGCCCAGCACTGTCTTGGGCAGAGCCCAGCCCTCCTGGGGTAGCTCTGTGTTGCCTGTGGCCGTGCTCTCCAGACTTTGGGGTAGCTGGAGCTACCTGTCGCAGCGTGCACATGGCAGGGCCTTATCGCACCACACTGTGCGGATCTTCAGGGATCGATCGAGCTCAGCCAGCATAAACCTGTTTCCCCAGTTCCCTGAGAAGTGCTGGTGTTTGTCAGAGGTTGAGAACCACTGCTGGGGGATTTTAGGAAAAGTAAATTCAATATAGGAAACTCAGAGTTCTCAGGATTCTCTCTTCTTTTCTGGAGCTGAGGATTGAGCCCAGACCTCGTATGTATGCTAAATTAACAGCGCTACCTGGAGCCAGAATGTTCAGAGTATTAAGTCATTTTCATATTAATGTTGTGATAGTCAGATATGGTAGTGCACAGCTTGGATCCCAGTACCCTGGAGGCAGAGGCGGGCAGATCTCTGTGAGTGCAAGGCCATTCTGGTCTGCATAGAGAGTTCTAGGACAGCCAGGGCTACATAGTGATACCATGTCTCAATCCCTCTCCAATTATATATATTGTATTTATATGTGTAGCAAGGTTATATTATGTTAGTAGCCTGCTTAAGGTCGTGTCCCACGTGTATTTGTATTTATTCAGAATGATGCTGGGCAGTGGAGGCGCACGCCTTTAGTCCCAGCACACGGGAGGCAGAGACAGGCAGATCTCTGTGAGTTTGAGACCAGCCTAGTCTAAGAGTGAGTCCTAGGACAGCCAGAGCTACACAGAGAAACCCTGTCTTGAAAAAAAAAAGGGGGGGGAGGGAAGACTATCTTTTCTTCAAATCAAAAGAATACCTGTGGGTGTCCGTATTTCAGTCCTCCTTTCCCCAAATCTAAAGAATACCTGTGGGTGTATGTATTCCAGTCCTAGCAGCTATGATGAGTAAATTTGAGACTAGCTTGAATTTGATGAGACCTTACCTAAAAAAACACAACAAAGACCCCCCACAATGTTATCAGTAATTATAGTCTTAAATTTTAAATACTAATATCTAATATCTTATGCTAATACTAATATCAGCTAATTTAAGACAATTATTGTTTCTTTTCCATTAATTGAACAAAGGAATCTTTGTATATTCTTTTTAGTATATACAGCACGGATCTGGGCCCATTAGTTAGGACCACTGGTTGCTCTCACCAAGAGCATTGGGGTGCAGCAGTGGAATGCGCAGGTTGCTTTGCTCCTCCATGCTATTCACTTGCATCTTTCTTCCATAGGTGTCTCTGCAAACAGACTCACGGGTGGTGCCATGCAGCTTACCTTCCGCAAGATGGCATTTGACTACTACCCCTTCCACTGGGCAGGTTAGAGAAGTGTAACGTGTTCTAGCATGGCCCCAGATAATTGAGAGGGGATTTCTGGATTCATCCCTGACCAGCCAGCAGAAGGGTGCTGGATATGGCTACATATGCTCAGAGGCCTGCTGGAGTGTCTCCCTGTGAGCATCTACAGCCTGTGTGGTACCCTGCTGGAGTGTCTCCCTGTGAGCATCTGCCTGTGTGGTACCCTGCTGGAGTGTCTCCCTGTGAGCATCTGCAGCCTGTGTGGTACCCTGCTGGAGTGTCTCCATGTGAGCATCTGCAGCCTGTGTGGTACCCTGCTGGAGTGTCTCCCTGTGAGCATCTGCAGCCTGTGTGGTACCCTGCTGGAGTGTCTCCCTGTGAGCATCTGCAGCCTGTGTGGTCTTCTGCTGTTGGTGATGACTAGAGGCCCTCAAGATCATTCGCTTTAAAGCTCGTCTAGTAGTTCATAGTCAGAAATAGTTTTGAGACCCTTGTGGAGGGAGACTCACATATGGGTGCACCCAGTGGCATTTGTCTCTTATCCCAAGAAACTCTGGGTTGGGGTTGGGATCTAATCTGAACTCTGACAGCCCTGACAGGGGAAAACATTGGCACACTGGTCTATGATACTGGGTTCAGATCTTTTCTTCTTTACCCCACAGGTGACAGCTGTAAACATTGGGTGCGTCACTGTGAGGCCATGGAGACCCGAGGCCACTGGGCCCAGAAACTGGTGACGGAGTTCCAGAGTAAGATGGAGAAGTGGTATGAGGAGAGCAGTCTGAAGCCGCCCTGGCATCTGGCTGTAGACTCTGCCTTCCGGAAGAAAGCAGGTAGTTTTAAGGCCCTGGGGGGGTTCTAGTTGTTCAGCCTTTTGATCTTTGCTATGGATAGCTGGTGGAGATGAAGCAGTGGAGGATCTGTTCACCCAGCTGCATCTCGCAGTGCGATGCCAGTGTGGAGCTTCCTGTGAGCAGCGGCAGCTGCAGTTCCCGGGCACTCATCTGTCAGTGGCGTTGTCTTGAACTCATGGAGATTGTTACCAAGCTGCCCCCAGTGTAGAGCTCTCTTTCTGCTTCATGCTACTAGTGATCTTGGGTTTTTAATTTCTAAATTTTAGGTCTGGCTTACCTCACTCAGGATAGTGTTTTCTATTTCCATCCATTTGCATGCAAAATTCAAGAAGTCTTTGTTTTTTACTGCTGAGTAGTACTCTAATATGTATATATTCCATACTTTCTTCATCCATTCTTCCATTGAAGGTGGCGGGGAAGAGGCAGAAATCTTTAATAAATAAATAAATAAAAATTTCTAAATTTTATTCATAATGAATAAGGAATGTATCTATTTCTTTTTTCCTTTTCATTTTTATTTAGATTCTTTCTCTAGTCCAGGAAAGAGCCCTCTTGACAAAAGCCCTTCTCAGGGCTGGCAGGCTGCCTTTGGCCCTCCAGCGTGGAATCGCTTACGCTCTAGCTGCCTGGTTGTACGAGTGGATGACCTGGACATCCACCAGGTGAGGACACAGGAAGACATCAGCGGGTATGAGATAGTTTAGGAACAGCTTGGACCCAGGTATGGAAGCCAGGGCCTGATGGTCTCACTTCTGAGTAGATGGATAGTTTGGTTAATTTCTGTTGAGCATGATCTCTGAGAAAAGACCTTGGGGTGTTCTCAGAATGCTGTTATAACCTCCTGCTGAAAACGAACTTGGACTGGTTGAAGTGCTAAAATCCTAGCACTTTGGAGGTAAAGGCAAGAGTTCAAAACCATCCTCTGCTACATTGCCACTTTGAGACTATGTGGGACCCATCCCTCAAACCAAACTGAACAGCAACTTGGGGATGGAGCAGAACAGGCGGGACGTGCGGAAAGCTCTGTGCGCCCCAGAGAAGGCGTGGGGTATGGCAGAGGCACATGTTTGTTAGGAAACAGTTGTGTCTGGGGCTCTGACATGGGCTCACAGTGATTTGTGGTCACTCAGGTTTCCACAGCCGGACAGCCAAGTAAGAAGCCATCCACTCTGCTCTCCTGCAGCCGCAAACGCCACCACCTCCCGACTCAGGTGGCTGCTATCCATGTGCAGTTCACAGAGTATTACTTCCCAGATAACCAGGAGCTTCCAGGTAAGCGTTGTCAGCTTTGAGACCACAGTCCAGTCTCATGCGTGGTTCAGAATGTCATGTGTCTGCCTGGGGCTAGGGCTGTGGCTCAGCCGCTGATAGAGTTCTTGCCCAGCACGCAGAGCCCTGTGCTTCCTCACCAGTGCCACACAGACTGATGGTGGAGATGCACAGCTGTAATCTAAGAGCTCTGGGAGGTGGAGGTAGCAGGTCATCCATGGCTGCACAGTGAGGTTGAGGTCAAGCTCATGGCGTGCAAGGGTGTGTCTGTGCTGGTGTGAGAGAGACCGCAGCTGGTGGGGACTGGGGGTGTCTGTGCTGGTGTGAGAGAGACCGCAGCTGGTGGGGACTGGGGGTGTCTGTGCTGGTGTGAGAGACCGCAGCTGGCGGGGACTGGGGGTGTCTGTGCTGGTGTGAGAGACCGCAGCTGGTGGGGACTGGGGGTGTCTGTGCTGGTGTGAGAGACCGCAGCTGGTGGGGACTGGGGGTGTCTGTGCTGGTGTGAGAGACCGCAGCTGGTGGGGACTGGGGGTGTCTGTGCTGGTGTGAGAGACCGCAGCTGGTGGGGACTGGGGGTGTCTGTGCTGGTGTGAGAGACCGCAGCTGGCGGGGAGTCCAGCCGCAGCACTGTAGATGACCATCTTTGTGTTCTCTGCTTCCAGTCCCTTGTCCTAATCTCTACATCCAGCTAAATGGTCTGACATTTACTGTGGATCCCGTCAGCTTGCTGTGGGGAAACCTCTTCTGTCTAGATTTATACCGCAGCTTGGAGCAGTTCAAAGCTATCTATAAACTGGAAGATTCAAGGCAAAAAGATGAGCACTTGGACATTCGAGTGGATGCATTCGGGATGAAGGTAGGAACAGAGCTGGACTTCGGCAATGTTGGTAGACACAGCTCCGTTTCTTCAAGGCTCTGAGCTGTAGTCCTGCTGTGTCCAGCTGATGAAAAGTCAGCTGCAGATGCCCACATGTCTGCTTGGATGCCTTAATCGTGTTCCATGTTCTCTCTGAAGGTGAGCTTCCCGCTGGAGAGGAGAGAGCAGGCACAACTGCACCGTCCCCAAGCACTTGTCTTCTCTGCGTCCAGCACGGTTGCCACCAACACCCGGCATGCCCCGCACTGTAGCTGTCCGGACCTCCAGAGTCTCTTCCGGGGTTTTGCTGCTGCCGAGTTCTTTCGTTCTAGTTCCAGTCACTTCCCTAAGGTCCCAGGGGGCTTCAGCCTTCTGCACATGCTCTTCCTGCACCATGCTTTCCAGATGGATTCCCTCCCAGCTCAGCCTAGCTCCCTCCCTCCTCAGAGGCCTGCGGCCTCTCAGGATCTTTGGTCTCTGCACTTCACCCAGATCTCCTTGGACTTTGAAGGCACAGAGAACTTCAAAGGCCATACCTTGAATTTTGTGGCCCCTTTCCCCTTGTCCATTTGGGCCTGCCTTCCTCTCCGTTGGCAGCAAGCCCAGGCACGGCGGCTCCTTTTGGCCTCAGAGGGGAGGCTAAAACCGTCAGCCAGCTTTGGCAGTCCTGTGCGGTCTGAAGCTCTAGCTCCTGAGTCTGTGTCCCATCAGAGGTCGAAGACTGAACGAGACTTAAAAAGCCTGTCAGGATTGACGGAAACCCCAGAGGTTCTGAGGGAAGGTGATGCCGGTGTGGACTACAAAGGGCATGTGGCGGAGCTGGAGGGTGTGGCGAATGTTCATATGCTAGTACACTCCCCTGCCCACGTCCGAGTGAGGCTCGACCACTACCAGTACTTGGCTCTGCTTCGCCTCAAGGAGGTGCTTCAGGGGCTTCAGGAGCAGCTGACCAAGGATACAGAGGCCATGACTGGGTCTCCCCTGCAGGACCAGACAGCTTGCATTGGTGTCCTCTTTCCCAGTGCTGAGGTGGCTCTCCTCATGCCTCCTGCCCCTGGGACTGCTGATGCTGACTCTGCAGGCTCGGATACCACCAGCCTCATAGACTCAGAGCTGTCTCAGTCAGAGGACCGGGAGCTGAAGTCTGGTGCCTCCTCAGACCAGGGCCCAGTGAGCCCTGAGAAAGTCCTGCAGGTCAGCAGTGCTGAAAACCTGGGTGCACCCCAGGAAAGGCTGCATGATGATGGAGCACTCCAGGACTCTGGTCCCCTTGCTCAACAGCCAACAGGGAAAAGCCATGAGGCAGTTGAGTCTCTGCAGGCCAAGAAGCTGAGCAGAGCTCAGACTGCCAGCTCAGCAGCTGCGTCGATGTCCCCAGCTGACAGGGCTGCTGCTGTGAATGGACAAGGGGAGTCCGTGCCCTTGAGGAACATTGAGGGCGACTTGTCCAGTGCTATTCACATGACCAAGGATGCCACAAAGGAGGCGCTCCATGCCACCATGGACCTCACCAAGGAAGCTGTGTCCCTGACTAGGGACGCCTTCAGTTTGGGCAGAGATCGCATGACCTCCACGATGCACAGGATGCTGTCCCTGCCTCCCACCAAGTAAGTGGTCCTCAGCTTCTCTCAGCTTCTCTACTTCCTCCTCCAGTTCTGACCACTGGGCTCAAGGCTACATGCTATGTGCACTCTTAGAGAAAGAATGGCTGGTGGGGACTGGAGAGATGGCTCAGTGGTTAAGAGCACCGGCTGCTTTTCCAGAGGACCTGGGTTCAATTCCTAGTACCCACCTGGCAGTTCACATCTGTCTGTAACTCCAGTTCCAGGGATTCAGACACCCTCATACAGATGTAAGTGCAGGAAAACCACCAATGAACATAAATCAAATTATAGACTGGGTGGTCGTGGCATACACCTTTAAGCCGGATCTCTGTGAATTTGAGGCCAGCCTGGTCTAAAAAAGCCATTTCCAGGACATCCAAGGCTGTTACACAAAGAAACCTTGTCTCGAGAAAAAAAAATTACAAAAACTAAATTACCAAGGAGGGAAAAGGGCAGGTTGAATAGGCAGGCTTCAAGTCAGCATTTGTAGCCTTTCAGGATGCATAGACTGGGTGGTATCAGAGTAACAGGACCTGGCATCTGTATGCTGTCCTGCTGTTGCTAAGGAAACCAAGTGCTGTTAGTGTTGAGGCACATTCCTAGCCCAAGTACTGTGTTTGCTTGTGTTTTGAGACAGGACCATGTCTTACTATATATCCCTGGCTCGTTTGGAATGAACTCCCACCCCCCCAGCAACAAAATTTTTAGTAGTACTGAAACAGATTTTTATATAACTTTGAGTCTGGCCCCATCTTCTTGAGACTTGGCATCTCAAGATGTGACAGGTGTGTGCCGCTGCATATCACGCTGGTGTAATAGCCATTGCAGTGGGTTATCTTGTAATCTCTTTAATTGATCCCCATAACAGCCCAGTAAAGTAGCTGCAGAACTTTGTGTTTCTCACTTACAGCTGAGGAGACTGATGCTTGAGAGAGGTCGTACTCTCTCAAAAGAGCAAAAGAGCTGAGCCTTTGCCTTTCTCTGTGTGGCAGTGCTGTACTGGCCTCTGCTGGAGCTGCGGAGAAGGAGAGTAGTGTTGAGCTCTTATTGTGTGTTGGTCCTGTGTGCAGCACTGTGGGTATGACAGGGTGGAAGAAAATGCAGAAAGGAATAGTCCAAAGGTTGGAAACGGAAGAGCCAGGCATGGTGGTGCATCCCTTTAATCCCAGCACTTGGAAGCAGAGGCAGGTGAATCTCTTATGAGTTCAAAGCCAGCCTGGTCTACAGATCGAGTTCCAGGACAGAGAAACCCAGAGAAACCAAAGGAAAAAAGAAAGATATGTGGTATGCTGAAGTCTCTTCTGGGACGTTTGGTGGCTCACAGACCATGGCATTACAGTCAGGGAATTAGAGCTTTTGCCCTTTCTGATTGTTTTGTGTATGGACGTTTTGTCTGCATAGAAGTGCAGTGCCCAAGGAGGCCAACAGGAATTCAGTAGGTAAATACCACACTAAAGGCAGAGCCCAGGACACAGGAACTTCAGGCTAGTGTTACTGCACACTCATTCCTTTCGTAAATGTATGTGCTTATATGTATTCACAAGCACAAATCCTCCGGGATTGGGGTTACAGACGGGTGTGGGCCACCATGGGGATTCTGGGAATTGAACTCAGCCAGCGCTCCTAACCACAGAGCCAGCCCTCCAGGCCCTCTTTTCCCATTTCTTTGTGGGTGTGCATGTGTGGAGGTCCAAGGTTGATGTTGCAAATCATTCTGGATCCTTCTTCCACCTTACTCATTGAGGCAAGATCTCTTGGTCAGACCCAGAACTCACCTGTACATCCAGTCTAGCTGGCTCGCTTACCTGTCTCTGCCTTCCAAAACTTGAGTTACAGGTGGGATGCCGTGTCCATTGGCATTTTGTGGGTTCTAGGGATCTGAACTCTGGTCCTCATACTTGCATGGCAGATGCTTTAGCTGAGGAACCATCTCCCCAGCTCCTTGGAGTTTTTTCTGTATGAATTGTCCTAAGTGGGTCTCTATGTAATGCCTGTGTGTATAGTGCCTGCTAGGGCAGTCAGCCATAGAAGAAGGGGAGGAAACTTCCCAGGGGTCCTTGGCGGGCTGGGGAGATGGCTTAGTTAGTATACCCAGCACCAACATAAAAGAAAGCTAGGCATCTGTCTGTAATCTTAAAGCTAGTGAGGAGGAGACAGGAGGACCCCTTGGGCTTGCTGGCTACCGTGTAGAAACAGGTTAGGGAGCTCCAGGTTGACGGAGAGACCTGTCTGAAAATATAATGTGTTGAAGCATTGAGGAAGACCGCTGATGTTGACCCTTGGCCTCCACATGCATCTGTGAACACACATGCACATGTGAATACACATAAGCACATACATTTACGAAAGGAATGAGTGTGCAGTAACACTAGCCTGAAGTTCCTGTGTCCTGGGCTCTGCCTTTAGTGTGGTATTTACCTACTGAATTACTGTAGTCCTGTGGGACACGCTGATACCAGGCCTCATTTCTTAGGAAACAGCTCAGCAAGGCAAAAACTTGGGAGGAACGTGAGCTCTCAGTAGTTAATGAAAGACCAGTGTCAAAGAGAGCAGATGCCATGTAACTCCTGAGTGGGGGGGAATAAAGGCTGAAAGCCAAGCTTTTCAGGATTCTCAGGATGGAGATGGGTCAGGGAGGTGGGAGAGGGGTGAGAGAGGAGAGAATGGGGAACATGTCCTGATGTCTTCACTGTGGCCGTCTCTACATCTGCCCTCTCCAGGCTGTCACAGGTCTTCTCTTAGGCCACCAGCCAGCTCTCAAGTCATGACATGGAGACTGATTCTTAGTTATGGGTGCTCAGCCCTGCCTTAGGCTTAACCTGCTTCTCTTCATCTGTGTTTTGTATTGGAGCTTTTTGCCTCTCTGTCTGTTCCTGCTTGCTCTGTGTCTGGCTGACTGGCCCCAGCTTCTCTTTCTTTTTGTTCTCTCCTTGGTACTTCCTGAGTCTAGATTCCTCCTCCTACTTTTTGTCTCTGTTAGACCAGTCAGGTTCGTTAGGCAGACAAAGTGAAACAGGAACACATCTTTACATAGTTAAACAAATGCAGCATAAACAAATGTAACACGCCTTTACCTAGTTTAACACAATATTATACACCTGGCCTCCCAGGGAGTTTCTTTTCTTTTTACTTTTTAAATATTTATCTTGTGTTATTTTAGTATTGAGTATTTTGCCTGCATTTGTGTCTGTGAACCATGTGAGCATAGCATCTCAAGAGTCTGGAAGAACGTGTTAGATCCTTCAAACCCAGAGCTGCAGGCGGCTGTGAGCTGCCTTGTGGGTGCTAGGAACTGAGCCCAGGTCCTCTGGAAGAGCAGCTAGTGCTCTTAACCACCAAACTGTCTCTCAAGCCCCATCTTTAAGATTTTTTTTACAGCCTCTCACTTCTGTAATCCCAGAATTTTGGAAGTCTAGAAAATTGCCATGAGTTTGAGACATGGTCTCAAAAGGGCACCCATCCACCAAGTTAAAAAAAAAAACACACACACACACAAAACAACTTTAACAAAAGCTTTTTTTAATGGTCTGGATGCAGTCTGTGTGGTCACATGAGACACACTAGTGGACATTAGAGGACTTGGGGTTTCCTCATACCCCCTTTAGCTGTTGCCGCACCTCTGAGAGTTGGAAGATCTTTAAGCTGTCTCTTCAGCCTTCCGCCTCATTATCTCCTTTCCTCTCCAGCCTCACTGCACCTGAGTGGAGCCGGGCAGAGCTGCTCATGCCCTCCCTTGTGTGCAGTTTTGCCCTTTGACTTGTGCCCTTTTCTTCTGTCTGCTTCAGCTCTTCCCCAGTTCTTCATGGATACACTTCAGGGCTGCCTCTTGAACCTAGCATGGTGGCACAGACTTAGAGCCTGGAACTCGGGAGTCCATGGTCCAGGCCAGTTAGGGCTACAGGGTAAGACTTTGATGTCAGAACCAAAGGAAGAAAATGCCTTTTCCTAAGACTCCATTCTTGATCATTTCTCCTCTGGCCCTTAGAGTGTGTGTGGCTCAGTCCCATAGGACTTGCCTGCTTACCAGTCTTTCTTCTGAGGACGGGGTGTCCTTTCGTTAGCTTACCCCCTGCACTCTTGTCTCTCCAGAGCAATTGAGTCGAGACTTGTGAGTGGGGCTGCGGAGATGCTCAGCCTTTCAGAGCTCTTGCTGCTCTTGCAGGACTAGAAGGCTCACGGCTCTTTCTGTAACTCAGCTCTGGGAACCTGACACCCTCCTCTGGACACCTCAGAAACCACATGTCTCTGCGCGCGCACATGTGTGTGTCCCCACATGCACAAATCCATAAGAACGAGACTGGGAAGTGCATGCAGGTGCTTTGGCACCACTCCTAATCACCAGGGCAGTAGGTAGTTGGCCTCTTCTGTGAATGGGATGACCCTGAATAGCCAGCCTTGAGATTTAATGTTATTAGCTGTTCAAGTAGTTCAAAGCTCAGACAGCAAGTGTGTCTTCATGTTAACCGTCTGCGCTAGGGAAATGTATTAGACTGAGGCTGGGAGAGTAGAAAGGGAACAAACGGTCCTCAAAGCTTAACTGGTGGTTTTATTTTTAAACGTAGGGAAGCCGTGGCCAAGACAGATGATGGGGTGGCAGCCCCAGTGAGTGGAGGTGCTGCGCGGCTCCGTTTCTTCTCCATGAAGAGGACCGTCTCTCAGCAGTCGTTTGACGGTGTCTCGGTGGACAGCAGTGGCCCTGAAGACCGGATCTCAGTAGACAGCGATGGCAGCGACAGTTTTGTGATGCTCCTGGAGTCCGGTACGTTGGAGAAAGTCGCCTTCACCCAGAGAGTGTGCCTGCCCTCTCGCTGACACCCACACCAGCAGGAATCAAGTGCAGCCGAGAGAGGGTCAAATGTCCTTCCGAACCAAAACAAAAGAGAATATTCAGGATATACGTTTTTCTGCCTTTATTTCCACATCTCCCAGTTATTTTTATGTTTAGTTCTTTTTTGGGGGGTGGCGGTGGTCTCATGTAACCCAGGCTAGCCTTAAGCTCCCTGTTTTCCTGACTCCTCTAAGCGCTGGGATTACAAGCATGTGCCTTCACTTCCATCTCTTACAGGTTATTGCTTAATACTTAACATTTATTACAGGAAAATACTCAAGTCAAAGGAGTTCTTGTCTAGAGCCACAAGGTTCGCTGATCAGAGTTGGTTTGTATCTGTTACTAGTGGCACGTGCTTGCTGTCTGGGCTTTGTTTTGCCTAGGTGGTTTTTTTTTTTTTTTTTAACTTTTTGAAAGACTTACTTTATTATGTTATTTATATTAATTTTTATATTTATTTGTGTATGTTTAGTCTGAATGTATGTAAGTATACTTTGTGTGTGCCTGGTGCCCTTGAAGGCCAGTGGAGTATGCTGGATCTGCTGGATTTAGAATCATGGACTGTTGTGAACTGTGTGGGTGCTGGGAATTGAACTTGGATTTTTTACAAGAGCAACTAGTGCTCTCACCCTCTGAGCCATTTGCTCAACCCTTGCTTGTGTATTTTATTGTTGGAAAATAACCTGAAGCTTTTTGTTTAAGGATATAACGATTAATTTAAATCTTTTAATTACATATATTTATCTATAATTATATATCTAACTAATATATATATATGAGTGTTTTGCCTCTGTGCACATATGTGTGCAGTGCCATAGAGGCCAGAAGAAGGCATCAGATCCCTTGGAACTGGAGTTACAGATGTGAGCCACCACATCTGGTGCTGGGAATTAAACCCTGGTCCTCAGTAAGAACACTTGTGCTCTCACCACTGAGCAATCTCTTCATCTTCATACAATGATTAACTTTTAGGAATTAAACTTACCATTTTTGGAAGTCACACACTCTTAGCTTATCAAAATAGCAACTTATTCAATGATTCCTTCAGAATATTTGAAGAACATATTTATGTCTTTCTTATCAATACTATTAGAGTTACTGTGTTTGGTGAATGAGGCTGTCAGCACGCTGAGCATGGGCTCTGCCTCAGAGCCCCACACTGGAGAGCGACAGATGGCTGGTGTGTTTGTGTGGTGACAGTTCTCTCACCTGCCCTGCCCAGTGGTTATGCCCTGCTCTTCTCCACATTCTTGCCGACACTTGTTCTTTCTTTTTCTGGGAGGGAGGGGATGGTTTTGGCTTTTTAAAAAGATGTTTATTTGTTTTTAATTATGTGTCTGAGTGGGTATGTGCACAAGAGCATATGTGGCCTCAGAAGCCCCTGGAGCTGAGTTACAGATAGTTGGGAGCCACTGGGAACAGGACTGGGTCTTCTGCAAGAGCAATCCGTGCTGTTAACCACCGAGGTCTCTTCAGTTGGTTTTGGCCTTTTAATTCCAGGTCTCGCTATATAGACCAGGTTGGCCTCCAACCTGCGATCCTCCCTAGGTTCTAGGCTTCCGTGCTCTGCTGGCTTGTCTCTCTGTGAATGTGTGCAAGACTCTAGGTTTTAGTGTGTGTAGTGTGGAATTTTCTTTAAGTAATTTTAAGTACAGATATTGTTCTTTGTATGTCTATCCTGTGTGCTGACTCTCTGACCACCAGTGGGTGCTTCTGTTTACAGTTGTGTTAGATTTGATGGAACCCCGCATCACACTTTAAGAAGGGTCCGTCCTTAAGTTCATCAGCTCTCTTGTTCTCAAGTGCCCAGTGCTTTTGTTCTCGCAGTTGTTGCTGACCTTTCTGACCCTTGACCTCTTTCATTACCTTCTTCATGCAGAGTCTGGTCTGGAGTCTGTCCCACCAGCATCTGTGACAAGTGTCTTGGATGACACTGGTGTTCAAGGGAGCCCTGTTCTGGATAACTGTGGCCAGGGGTTGCCAGAGACCAACAGCTCGGTGTCAGCCAGTGGTGACCTCGTCCTTCACTCGGTCAGCTGCCATGCTTTCTTCTGTGCAGGGGGAGGCTCTGGGACAGGCACCAAGTTGGGAATCAAAACTAAGAGACTCTCTTTTGACAGGTGTCAGTTTTGGTACTGAAGGTGAATGAAGTGTCATTTGGGATTGAAGTTCGGGGTGAGGACCTGACAGTAGCCTTGCAAGCCGAAGAACTGGCCCTGCAGCAGCTGGGCACTGTGGGCCTCTGGCAGTTTCTCCATGGACAGTGCCCAGGTACAGATGATGACCATTCCAGAAGAGTGGTGGGATTTCCTGAGGCGGGCGAGGCTAGTTGGCACTCAGAATGCTGTAAGGGAGGCTCTTTTAGTGCCGAGCTCTTGGCTCTTTTGTCTGGCAGCTGCGGGGGATTCTCCAGTGAGTCCCTGGCTAACAGAGGAGGCCTCCTGGCCTCTTTCCAGGCTTCATACTCACTGGGCAGTGTCCGTCCTCACCGCAGGCCCCACTGGGATTAAACAGGAAGAGTGTCCTCTCTTTTGTCTTGTGACTGCCAACCAAAAGCTCTGTCTGGTGGGAACTTCATTTACTCATGTTCATCAGATGGCAGGGAAAATCTGGCTTATGTTATAGGCTTTGTTTAATATTTTTTAATATTTTAAGTAGATACCAAAGAATATTTAAAAAGTACACATAAAATAACAGCGCTGCAGTGGAGTCTTTTTTTTTTCTCTTTTTTTTTTGGTTTTTCGAGACAGGGTTTCTCTGTAGCTTTGGTGCCTGTCCTGGAACAAGCTCTTGTAGACCAGGCTGGCCTCGAACTCACAGAGATCCGCCTGCCTCTGCCTCCCGAGTGCTAGGATTAAAGGTGTGCCACGATGCCAGTCTTCATTAACAAATCTTAAAGACTGAGTTTATTTTTCATGTCTTGCTTGAATAGGTGTGTGTACGCCAGGTTCATGCTTTGAGCCTGCATAGGCCAGAAGAGGGTTTTAATCCCCTGGAACTGGAACAACAGATGTTTGTGAGTCCCCATGTTGGGACTGGGACCTGTGGGTCCTCTGCAAGAGCAGCTAGTACTGCTAACCACTGAGCCGCCTCTCCAGCCCCTCTTTGAGTGTGGGTTTCATGCAGCCCAGGCTGGACTAGGAGCTGGCATGTGTCTGAGGATGATCTTGAGCTTCCCCAGGGCTAGGACTGTTGTCACAACCACACGCCTGACTCAGGCCTGTTCTGCTCGGCGCTCCAGGCTCTTGAGTTAGAGCAGTTCATTTTTACATATTCTGCCTTGTAGTCTGCCCGCCCCCCCCGCCCCAGGTTTTAAGGTAGAATTTGAATAGCATAAAATTCTTTTGTCTCAAGTGTATAGTTGTGTAGTCATAATTACCCATGCCTGTCACATATTACTTAATCACTTCTCCAGTCTATCCTGAATAGGCATGCGGATCGTCCAGTTTTGCTGCTTGCTTGCTTGTTTATAGACTGGTCTCATTTATGTAGCCTGTGATGACTTGCAGTTCAGCTGTGTGTTCCAGGCTGGCCTTGAACTCCTCGTCTTCTCCCTGTGCCTCCTGAGCTCACTTGTTTGTGCCACCGCTCCACCTTGTGTCACTGTCTCAAGGAGCACACATGCTCCCTAGGTTCTATGTCCCTAGGTAGCGATTCTAGACCACTAAAGCAGGGTGCGCCAGCTTCTCTGGGTAGTGATTCTAGACCACTAAAGCAGGGTGCTCCAGCTTCTCTGGGTAGCGATTCTAGACCACTAAAGTGGGGTGCTCCAGCTTCTCTGGGTAGCGATTCTAGATCACTAAAGTGGGGTGCTCCAGCTTCTCTGGGTAGCGATTCTAGATCACTAAAGCGGGGTGTTCCAGCTTCTCTGGGTAGTTGCTTCCCACAGTCATTCCGAGTACACGGTTCTCGCCTCAGGGAAACTCCAGATGGTTCTCTGTGGCGCTGTGGAGGGCTTAGCATGGATGAGTGACAAATGTGAAGGCCACATCTAGAGAAGGAGATGCTTTGTTTGAGGTTGTAGGCCTTATGTTCAGTACTTTCCCTGCACCGTTAGCCCAGTGTCTCAAATTCAGGCAAGGCCTTTTACTGCCCCTGTCCCTTGAGGGGCATTCTAACAAAAAGCCCGACTCAGACTGCCTGACTGCAGACCTCACCTCTGCTGTATGCAGCTGTGTGACTTTGGGCTAGTTACTCTCTGTGGCTTAGTTCACGCCTGTGAGGTAGGATGGTTCTGCTATGTTGGCATAGGGTTGTGTGTGCTAGGCATAGGGGAGTGCTTACACTAGTCTCTGTATTAATGTGTTTCCTCAACTCTCTTCTCAAAGGCACGAGCTTCCAGGAGTCCTCAAATCGGAAGACTGGCCGCATCAGGCCTGCTGTGGGCCTGCGCTTTGAGGTGGGGCCTGGTGCCTCTGTTCATTCCCCATTGGCCACACAAAATGGCTTCCTGCGGTTCTTACTTCGGGGCTGTGACCTGGAGCTGTTCACCTCAGTGCTTAATGGTCTGGGGCCTTTCTTGGAGGATGAGGACGTCCCAGTGGTAGTCCCGATGCAGCTTGAGCTCCTGAACTCCAGTGTTACCCTCAAGGTGAGAGGGACCTTGGTGTTTGCCCTGGACTCTGTAGTGGCAGTGCCTTTCCTGTCGCCTCACAGTTCTGTCACCGAGTGAATGAAGGGGCGGGGATGGGCAGCACAGGTCCAGGCCTAAATGGGGGTAGGAAGATGGTAAAGCGTCTGCTGCTTAAGTGTAAGGACCCGAGTTTAGATTGCTTCTCATAAGTTAAAAAGACAAGAACTTTCCGAGTCTTGCTAACCAGTGAGCTTCAGGTTCAGTGAGAAACCATCTCAAAAATAGTGTTGAGAGAGGGCTGGAGTGGCAGCTCAGTGACTAAAAGTGCTTCCTGCTCTCGCAGAGGACCTGAGGGTTCTTTCCAGATCCACCTGGTGGTTCACACCATCTGTTACTCCAATTTTAGGGAATCTGACTTCATCTTCTGACAGGCATTCGCATGGTACATATACATACATGAATGTAAAATATTTATACACAAAGTGAACCTTAAAAAAAAGGAGGAGCATGATTGAGGTAAGATGTCTTGGCCTCCACATGCACACATGTGAACATGCATGCGAACACATATGAATATGAACACACGCACACACACTCACAAAGCCCAGGCCATTTGTTATCCTAATCCTGTTTTTGTCATGTAACCCATGTCAAGCTCCTGGTGGTGTGACTCCCAGTCTCGCCGTCTCTAGGACTGGTGGTGTGACTCTCAGTCTTGCCATCTCTAGGACTGGTGGTGTGACTCCCAGTCTCGCCATCTCTAGGACTGGTGGTGTGACTCTCAGTCTCGCCATCTCTAGGACTGGTGGTGTGACTCTCAGTCTCGCCATCTCTAGGACTGGTGGTGTGACTCTCAGTCTCGCCATCTCTAGGACTGGTGGTGTGACTCTCAGTCTCGCCATCTCTAGGACTGGTGGTGTGACTCTCAGTCTCGCCATCTCTAGGACTGGTGGTGTGACTCTCAGTCTCGCCATCTCTAGGACTGGTGGTGTGACTCTCAGTCTCGCCATCTCTAGGACTGGTGGTGTGACTCTCAGTCTCGCCATCTCTAGGACTGGTGGTGTGACTCTCAGTCTCGCCATCTCTAGGACTGGTGGTGTGACTCTCAGTCTCGCCATCTCTAGGACTGGTGGTGTGACTCTCAGTCTCGCCATCTCTAGGACTGGTGGTGTGACTCTCAGTCTCGCCATCTCTAGGACTGGTGGTGTGACTCTCAGTCTCGCCATCTCTAGGACTGGTGGTGTGACTCTCAGTCTCGCCATCTCTAGGACTGGTGGTGTGACTCTCAGTCTCACCGTCTCTAGGACTGGTGGTGTGACTCTCAGTCTTGCCGTCTGTAGGACAGCTGGGGCTTTGCTCTGCCTCTTGCACCTCACAGGAATGTGTGAGTGAGCTTGCAGGATGGGTCAGTGGCTAAAAGCACTTGCAGCCAAGCCTGAGGACCCAGGTTCAATCCCTGGGACTCACATTACCATGTGAACCTACTCCCACAAATTGTCCTTTGATCTCCACATGAGAGCCCTGAAATGCATACACAGACATACATACACAGAGACACACGTATAAATAATAAATGTGATTAAAAACAGAAGAGTATCTGGAGAATCAGTGACGTCAAACTGTCCTGAGTTGGATGGTAGAGGCATGGGTATATTCCCTTGAGCTGGGTGGGTAGGTGTAGAAGGAGCTGCGGGCTGCTTCCCTCCCGCCACATGGCTAGCTTTACACCCGAAATAACAACACACAAATTGTATTCTTTTAAACACTGCCTGGCCCATTAGTTTCAGCCTCTTATTGGCCAATTCTCACATCTTGCTTTAACCCATATTTATTAATCTTTGTAGCACCATGAGGTGGTGGCTTACCGGGAAGGATCTTAACCTGCGTCCATCTTGGAGAGGAGAGCTATAGTGTCTACCTCACTTCCCTTCTTCCCAGCATTCTGTTCTGTCTACTCCGCCTATCCCAGTTCTGACCTATCAGGCCAAGCAGTTTTCTTTATTAATTAACCAATGAAACAACAGATAGATAGAAGACCTACCTACATCAGGTAGGTCACATGGTTCCCCTCTGTCCTTCAGGATGATATCCCTCCCATCTATCCAACGTCCCCTGGCCCTGTTCCCATCACTTTGGCAGTGGAGCATCTTGTGCTGAGACGGAGTGACGAAGGTGTCTTTCACCTTGGTGGTGAGTTAGTTTTCTTGGCTTCTCTGCTCTGCCCCTTTCTCTGATAAGTCAGTCTAGTTGACAGGTAGGAACTGTCGGCTATTGGCACCTATTTGTCACTTAACATGGTTATTTCTCCAGCGCCTGCTCAGGACAGACCACTGGATGAAATACCTGAGAAGCAGCAGCTCCCACAAGAACAGGTACTCCTGGTGCCCACAGGACAGGATTTGGGACTGCAGGTGAGGACCTGACCTAATCTTCCCATAAACCTCTAGGGCTCTAGAGAGTTGTAATTGTGGAAGCAATAAAACTCACATGTCTAAAAGGTCACTGTTGTGTGCAGCTGGTGGTGTGGCCTCCAGTCACCAGCAGGAGCTTCTGGAAGAGAGGATAGAGGCTGTAGACAGGAGCTGGTGGGTGTGGCCGCAGCTCTTCCTATGCCTGTAACTGATGAGCTCCGCAGAGGGAGTTTCAGTCATTGCCCCAGGGCTTCTGTTGAATTCTCCCTCCCCAGCCTCATTAGTGGTGGTGGTTGCAGGGGTATTGCTATGTTCCCTAATTGTGAACTACTTATCTTCCAGGAGAAAGACTTGCCTACCCTACAGCAAGAACTTATGGACACCAAACAAGCACTGGCCAGCGCCCACCAGGACAGAGAGAAACTTCTCCAGGAGATTAGGAAGTACAACCCTCTCTTTGAGCTCTGATAGCAGCTTACCCATCTGTGCCAAGGAGAGAGGCTATCACCAGCAACAGCACCACCTAGGACAGAGGTGCCGAGGAGCCAGCAGGGCCGGGAGGGAGCACCCTCGTGTGCTTCCTGCTGGCTGCTAGCCTGGGTGGAGGACAGTGGAGAGCATGGCTGCATCCAGGAACTGGGATAGCTATGTACCTGGCCCTGCACCATATCTTGCCATTATGTAGCCTTGTAGCCCTCTGCGTACTAGAGGAATCTTCTCTACACTGTAGAGCATCTCATGTCCTGGTTTCATGGCAGTGATGTTTGCTTCCTTTATGGTGTGTGTGAATAATATCCATCTGAGTCATGTGCACAGCCACCAAAGATCCCATGTCCCAGTGCTTCCTCTGGCATATCTAAAAAGTCCTTGGCTTGAGTTTTGGAGTAGATCAGGAAATAGCCCAGCCTCAGGGGTTGGGTCAGAGGAGGCCTGAGCTGAGGGAGCAGTGGAATGGGAGCTAGGCTCATCCCATCTTGGCGATGTCTTCATTGTGAAGCTGTGACTGACTCGGCCAGGTCGTGATCCCCGACACAGCAGTTGTTAGAGTGCCCAGCTGAGGGCATGCTGAGGTGGGGTACAGTTCTGCCTGCTCCCACAGCTGTACCTGACAGGCTTCTTTCTGCACTAGGAGTTCTGGTCACCTGCTTTCCCAGCACTATGACTTTCTGCCTTTGCTACATCAGCACTTGGTAGTTTGGGAGCTAAACATGTGCTCTGACCTAGTCGCGATGCCTCAGTGTGCTGCCCCACTTCCTGTTACTATGGCTTTTTCAAATCATGCTATTTCACCTTATGTAAACGGTCCAGGTTTCCCCCTGGCACTGTGAGAGAGCTCCCTTTCCTTCTGATGGTCAGAGTTCGGCTCTATGCTGAGCTCCAGGTAGCGCTGGCCGAGCAGAAGCATCACTAACTCTCCTGTGTGGGGAGATGGTCACTTGTGATGCCTGGGGTTGAGGGCAGGGGAGGAAAAGCACCACCCTGTGCGTTCCGAGGGTAAAGGAAAACACTTAGGAACGAGGTTGCATTTGTTTAGACTTGTAGGACTCAGTCATGTTCTTCACTGAGGCAAATTTCCAGACACAGTTCTTGCAGGATTGTGGTTTGTTACACTTAGGAGACACATTGCAGACTTGGGAACATCTTCTGGAGACATTGTTAGCAGTGAAGTTTCCTTGTTTCAGATGTTTATAAATGACCAAGGACTTTAAATGCCATTAAGTGGTGCTGCTTCTAGACAGTGAAAAGCAGACCAGAAGAGAGAAACCCAGCCATAGAAAAGTCCCGGTGAGCAGAGTTATGAGAGTGAAACATGACGCACAGGGAGGGATGCGTGGCACACGTGTGTGACCGGACTCCCCCTGGCATTACAAACACTACAGAATTAAAGATGGTGTACATCTGAACTACTACTCCTACGGAAACGACTCAGGAAAGAATCGAGAGCCTTGCTGAGGGAAGAGGGGCCGCTGTGATGCTGTGCCTGGCTGCGTTCCCAACATCATTAGGACAGTGCTGCCACCGACAAGAGCCCTGGCTCATGTAGAGCTGTGGGGCGACTTCAACCATTGGGCATGTCTACTGGCTTTATTTATCTAGAGCACAGAGAAGGGAATGGATGGTCAGAGAACAGGGAGAGCAGTCGGGGGTGTGCCTTGGAAAGTTGAGGGGAGCAGGTGACCACACACTTGGTCAAGAGTAGGGGAACCTAATCTGGAAACATTGTCTCTAGGGCTCTGTCACTGCCTCAGGGAGAAGAAAGCACTTTTAGTCAAGTTAGAAGCTTGAAGAGCTTGTCCGTGTTTCTAAGATTTGTAGAGGGAAAGCAGGAGCCAGTAACTAGGAAATAGAACCATCTAACGTCAGGGTCGCTTGAAGTTCACAGTCACATCCTCATCCCTCTGGCATCTCTCCAGGAGACAATGTCTAACCCTTGGTGTGCTTTTCCCTCAGGCTTGCAGTAGAAACACATTGTGTGGAGGATAATGCCTTAATGGCCAGAATATCATGATTTGGAGCTGAGGGGTTTTGGGGTTCTTGTCCATGTGAAAATGGAGTTTTAGTTTATGTGATATAGGTTTGGCCTTTGTGTCTACAAGTCATCCCTGAAGAAACATGATAAAACTGTTATTCCGTGGGTTTTCAATTATGTCACTTTTTGTAATTCCATTCCCCTGTGCACTGACTCATGAGCCGTGAAATGGCTGTGTGAATCCTTGGGGTAAGGGTAGAAGACTGAAGCTCTGCTGTGAAGTTGCCGTTTGTAACATGAAGTAATACCTCAAGAGAACTTTTGGAGAGACAGCACCACTGTCCCTCCGAGACTCCAGCCACTGCACATCATCCTCTCAGCTGTAAAGCACTTGGCGCAGCTGTGTCACCTGGGATTGTCTAGATGTCCTGTTTACATGCATGTACTGGGAATATGCCTTTGTGTGTGTGCACTAGAGCTGAGTCCTCTAACTGGGCTGCAGAGATGGCCATCAATGTCTACTTCACTGGAATGACTAACGGAATCTATAATGGAAAGCCAACATAGGTTCTCTCCCCGTGTATTCTGTGTGTGTATTTCCTCTGACCCTTACTGTGCCGTGGGCTGTAATCTCCATGTTTCTGTACTCTGAAGGAATGGTACCTGTGTGTGAACTAGAAAAAGATGAGACCTCATCTCACAGATGCTGTGACTCAAAGAGATGGAACACTGCAAGGAGTTCTCCTGGGTAGGAACTTCTAGATTTCTAACATCAGCGACTCAGGCCACAGAGGTGAAAACAGCTGTTTACTACCCAAGCTAGGGGAGTAACATCTGGTCGAGAGCCATGGCAGATGTGACTTAAGTGACTGACTCTTGGAGTTTCAGAGGCCACACACAGTCCTTAAGGAGACTTAGGGCCTTGCCTAGGTGCCACCACATCTTCTGCCAGGCCTTTCCATTTCCCCAGTGTAGCTATGAAGAATGAAGAGGCATTTCGCCCCATGGCACAGGGAAGTAACAGTGAGACCTTTCTAAGTGGCCAGACTTGATATCGGCGCTTCCTGTCCTGCTATTATGTTCCTGCCTTATCCATTATCCTTTATCAAAACAGGAGTAGTTCCTACGTGTTAAGAATTTCCTATTGGAGTTGAGAGGGAAAATCTTTGTTGTCAGTTTACTAGTTTTTGGTCAAGATTTAGCCTGAGTCTTACAGCATTCTTTGTGGAGTGCTCCACTGAAGTGTCTTCTGCTTTGGCTAAGCCAATGAGTTTCAATGTAAGCCACTAAAAGTCAGATCTGTCCAATTACATGAGTCTGAGCTGTTTCCCTAACTCAGGGTGCTACAAACAAAAGACTTGCCCAGGAAAGCTTCAGAAGAGAACCACTTCCAACCCTTCCTGTGACACTCCGAAGTGGAGGGGAAGCAGGTCAGTGGATTGCCAATTCTATCAGGTAGCCTTACTACTGCTAATCACTGTCAATAAAACGTCACTTCATTCTCTGAGGAAAGCAGTGAGAATGTATACAATGAACTGGAATCCTAGTCAGTATTGGGAGATTCTTACGTTGCAATATCTGATCAAACCCTGAGTGTACTGGTTCTGTGAACCACCTGAAAAGCAAATTAAAAACTGTTAAGTGGCATTGATCCTTCTGTGTCTGTTTATAGGAGGTGAAGCAGGTGAGCTTTGACCTGTGCTTTTTTTTTTTTAAGTTATTTTTGCCGCGCACCTAATTTGGCCTCAAACTCATGATGCTCTTGGCCAAATGTGGGATTTACATGGCTGTAAACAGTGCTGGGAGCTGGGAACATGCCTAGGTTATTTTCATGCTTGCTTGTTATGCATGGAGACCCTGAGTCTGATTTCCAGCACCGAGTATGGGCACATACCCTAATCCTAGTATTGGGGAGGTAAAGACAGGAAGACCACAAGTTCAGGTTATTTCCTTGACTACATAAATACTCATTTTTAGTGATTTTTGTGTATGTATGCGAATATTTGTCCATGCCTATGGAGGCCAGAAGAGGTACTGCATCCTCTAGTTCTGGAGTTACGGGAAGTTGTGAGTGCCCTGATGTAGGCTGGGAACTGAACTTGGGTCTGAACTCCTCAGGCCCAAAAGCTGAGGTTCTTGTTTCTTTTCTTTAGGAAAAAAGGCAAGGTGTGGTAACCACCTCAGAACTCAGAAGCCACAGACAGGCTCTGAGTTCAAGGCAGCCTGGCTTACGTAGTGAGTTCTAGACCAGCCAGACTGTCTCAAAAACAGATTTTTTTTTTTTTTTCATGAAAAAGCCAAGACTAGTGCCAAGTTTTAGTAGTGGCGTTCTGTGAGCTTGAGAGCAGCCTGCTCTACACAGTGAGTTTCAGGACAGTCAGAGCTAAAGAGTGAGTCCTTGTCTTAAAAACAAACAAACCAAAACAAAAACCAAGTGGTGTTGGTGCATGCCTTTAATCCCAGCACTTGGGAGCCAGCCAGGGCTCCTTGGTGAAACCCTGTCTTCAAAAACCAAAGTCAAGACTTGTTAGTTTTATTTAGACAGTGGAAGAATGATAAATTTTGCCTTCAACAAAATAAACTTTTAGTCGGGCGCGCCTTTTATCCCAGCGCTCGGGAGGCAGAGGCAGGCGGATCTCGGAGTTCGAGGCCAGCCTGGTCTACAAGAGCTAGTTCCAGGACAGGCACCAAAGCTACAGAGAAACCCTGTCTCGAACCCCCCCCCCAAAAAAAAAACAAAAAACAAAAAACAAAATAAACTTTTCCACACAAGTCGGAAAAGTTTAATGGTAACTCCGCAGGAGAGTCTGAAATGTTAACAGCATGAAGCATGTCACCCTTGTGACTTTATGGCAGATGACCCAAGGTTAAGTTTCTGAAAACCAGAGGCGAGAAACAACCTGGGTTGTAGCAACGTTAGGCTTCAAAGTGAAGCCAGCAGGTTGTCTTTGTCTTTGTTACTGGTGCCTTACAGGTGGACAGAGACACTGACATCAGCACCGACGAGGAAGCACCAGTGCACAGCCCAGCTGTGGAGTCTGGACGGCTCTCGGGCAGATCTAGAAGAAGATGATTTTCTTGTGCTTGGAGTTGGGGATCTGCCCTTTGGACTTCAACCTCCGAACAGCCTCCCGCATGTGCTTGGGCTGCAGTGGTGGCATCTCTCCCCACTTCTCACACACATCCAGGGCTGCATGGGGAAAGAGACAGCCTTGTTAACATAAAGTTTACTAACTTGCCACAGAAACAAACTGATATTTTTCCTTAAGAAAACTTCAAGGGCCTGGAGAGATGGCTCAGTGGTTAAGAGCATTGCCTGCTCTTCCAAAGGTCCTGAGTTCAATTCCCGGCAACCACCATGGTGGCTCACCACCATTTATAATGAGGTCTGGTGCCCTCTTCTGGCATGCAGGCATACAAGCAGACAGATATTGTATATATAATAAGTAAATAAATATTTTTTAAAAAAGTTATACCAATATTTATAATAAAGAAAAAGAAAACTTCACAAAGTCTTATCATGCTGGCTTTAGTTATACCCCACAGGGACCGGGTCACAGCTACAGGAAAGAAAAGGACGTGGCAAGCTGGAGATCAGCAGGGAGAAGCAGCCAGGCTTTCAGGGAAAGCTCTCAGTGGGTATTGCTATCAGGGCATTCTTGTCTTCTTACACTGAATGACACAAGCAAGGTCTACTGAGGAACTGTTTTGTTACCCTGGGCTGAGGAGAGGGATTGCCTACGCGGCTTCATCCCTGCCCTCCATCTCCGCCTACCCAGTGATAAAAACTATAAGAGTAGCCATGCTCTCCTCAAGACAAGGCTCCCTACAGGATCAACTTCTAGTGTGGCTGGAAACTAGCAGAGACCCTTAAATGCCCTGGTGTAGACGCTCTTGAAAGTGAGACCCCCATGAGAGCAAGAATGTTGTATAACCAACAATACTCACCTTCTTCTACTACCTCCCCCACAAAAACTTTAGAAATACCAGACATGGCAATAACAACATTCTGGGACACAGAGGTCCCCGTGATAGACTGGATCAGCTTGGAAGAAAGAAAGAAAAAAAGACTGTTAAGATCATCAGTGACTGGCTTTGGAATGTAGTACAGGCGACTGCATGCCACACTGAAGGCTGTGTGCTAAAACCGAGACTATTAGAATAAGACGCTTGCTCTTCAGAGGACTAGAGTTCAGGTCCCAGCACCCATACTGGATGACTCACAACCACCTGTAACTGCAGTCAGGAGATGTGATGTCCTTTTCTGTCTTTCATGGGCACCCCCACACATGGTATATACCCACAGATACATCAATAAATACAAAAACAGCGCCCCTCCCAGCCCCCAAGATTACTATGTGTTATGACTTGCCATGCCTGGCATACAAGGCTGGCTTTGGCCAGGTGATGAGAGAGTCGATTTTATCTTCTCTCCTAACTAACATTACCTCACTCATATGAAGACACAGCTGTGGACTCTAGCGACTTCCTAACACGAGGGGACCACACTGGGGTAGTCCATCCTTACCCTTTTAATGGCTGCCTTAGGGAAAGCTGACCGGCGATACATTTCATAACGGTTCAGCTGCTCCTCAGAAAAAGAAGAGACGAGGATTCTAGACAAAGATTCCGGTAATTAAGTTGATTAATAAGAATGAATACTAAAGGCATAAGTCAACAAAAGCAAAGCCCCAGACCAAAAACAAACCAAAATGTATCTCCCGGAGTTGGTGGCTTTAGCTTAGTGCGCTTGAGATGGCATCTCCACTCCTCAGGACCTCTGGGAAAGAGGAAAAGGGCACACTTTCCTTCCCTCAGGGACAGAGCTGCTGCGTGTGGCAGCGTGCGCCTGCTCCTCCTAAAAGACTTGGCAGTATGAGGACAAAGCACTGTATTCTAATGCTGACTTATTTCACACTGACAGTGAACATCAAATACAGAAATTTCTGTTCAAATCAGGGTTCTTCAATGTTAACATGTTTAGAGGAAAACATTCAAATTATGTATAGTCTTCAGAAAATTTCTGAGACATGATATACCTCAGGTTAGTTTCAAACTTGAGTTTCTGGTTCTCCTGGCTCCGCCCTCCAGAGGGTGGGATTACAGTTTTACTCAGTGCTGGATCCATCACAGGGCTTCCTGCTTGCTCTGCAGGCAGTTTACAGTAGCCTCAGCGCTAATATTTTAAATTACTGAGTCTATCTTCTATGCCTATGTGCTGTATGAATGTGTGTAAGCAGTTTTCTCCTTCCATCATGTAGGTCATGGGTATCAAATTAGGTTGTCAGGCTTGATGGTGAGTGCCCTATCTGGTGGGCTGTATCCTTTTTTTAAAATATTTATTTATTTATTATGTAAATAAATTGCATGCATGCCTATGGGCCAGAAGAGGGCAAAAGATCTCATTACAGATGGTTGTGACCCACCATGTGGTTGCTAGAAATTGAACTGAGAACTTCAATTGAACTTTGGAAGAAAAGTCAGTGCTCTCAACCTTTGAGCCATCTTTCCAGCCTCCTCCTCTTTTTTTTTTTTTGTTTTTTCGAGACAGGGTTTCTCTGTGGCTTTGGAGCCTGTCCTGGAACTAGGTCTGTAGACCAGGCTGGTCTCGAACTCACAGAGATCCACCTGCCTCTGCCTCCTGAGTGCTGGGATTAAAGGCGTGCGCCGTCGCCCGGCCTCCTCTTTTTTTTTTTTGAACTTACCCATGTGCTTGTGTGTGTGTGTGTATGTAGGTGCCCATAGAAGCCAGAAGAGAGGGCCAGATCCTTTGGAACATCTTAGCACAGATGGCTCTTAACCTCTGAGAAATCTCTCTAGCCCCTTATATTCTTTATAGTTAATTCTTTTTTTTAAAATTATTTATTTTATTGGTGTTTTAGTCTATATATCTGTGTGAAGGTGCTGGATCCTGGAGTTACAGAAAGTTGTAAGCTGCCATATGGGTGTTGGGAATTGAACCTAGGTCCTCTAGAAGAGCAGTCAGTGCTCTTAACCGCTGAGCCATCTCTCCAGCCCCAATTCTTTTAAATAAATAAAAAGATGGCCAAACCCGTTTTAGAAGATGAACTAAGGGCTGGATAGGAAAGTCACAAAAATCCAATGGCCAATCAAGATGGAAGAAAATGAACCTTAAGTATTAATCAAGAAACTTGAAATGATCAACTAAAACAAGATCACAATTTTTGCAGAAGATATGCTGAAGATCCTTTGAAACACATTCATACTAGAGTTTACACAGCTGGTTTATCCTAGAAATGGATGAGATGCAGAGATATGTCCAATGATGTAACAGTGTTGTTAAAAGAAACAAAAATTTAAAGACTCTACCTAGAATAGGTAAAAGGGTTAATATGAGTCACACACAGATAAGGTGAAGCACAGCCGGGTTAAATATACAGATATATCCACATATATATTCTTGGAATAAGATCCAGCAGCTCAATTTTGGGCCTTTTTTTTTTTTTTTTTGGTATTATGAGTTATCTGTAATGAGCCCATATCATTGCCACTCTAAAAATCAAGCTTTTTGAAGAAAATGATGACTTTGATGTATAATTACTAATAATGAGAAACACTAAATGTAACATTAAAAACAAAACATTTTGAACATTAATTATTTAATATTCTTATATTTACACATTTATTTTGTGTATGTGTAGGAGCATGCCTATATTTGGAGATCACAGAACAATTTCCAGGGACTGGTTCTCTCCTTACAGCGTTGGTTTCCCAGGATTAAACTCAGGCCATTAGGCTTGGTGGCAGGCACCTTTATCTGGCAGTTTGCTGACCTGAAATTATATCCAGGCATAGTGGCTCATGCCTGTAATCTCAGCACTAAGGAGGCTGAGGCAGGAGGATCAAGAGTCAAGACTAACTTAAACCTCATGAGACCCCGTCTCAAACAAGCAGCACGTGAGCGTGCAGAGCTGAGTCAGGGCTTCGGAATGGAAATTAGAAGAGACTCACTGCATCTTCTGAATCTCATCCTCGTCCACCTTCTGCTTCTTCTCCCTCTTCTCTTTGGTGTCCAGTTTCAGCTTTTTGGCTGCAGGAGTAAGTAAGGACGGGTCTTCCCTCTCAACTGCTGTTAGATCTGAGACATCCTGACTCTTGATCTGGGAAGATGGACAGAAACTCTGTTATATGTTTGGTATACTTTTCAGGCTTGGGCAAGGTCAGCAAATGCCCTCCTCTTTCCAGCTCAGTATATCTGTTTATGCAGTAGCTGTCTGGTTCTAGGCACTGCCTATAGCATCAGCATTGATTATAGCCCAGCTGGAGAGGAAAATGAGCAGTTCAGTCTTCCCGCTGAGCCACAATCACACAGATATCCTGTATCTGTTTACCAAAGAACCAAATCAGTACTCCCCTGCCTCATGCCACAGACATCAGCACAGTCCTCCTTCCAGCATGTGTCTTGGGAGCACCACCACCTGCAGTGTTCCGTCCCTTCCCACTACTAGACTAAAAACTGTTTTTGTTTGTTTTTTGAGACAGTCTCTTTACATAGCCCTGACTGTCCTGGAATTCACTATGTAGACCAGGCTGGTCTCACAGAAATCTGACTGCCTCTGCTTCCCAAGGGCTAGGATTAAAGGCCTGTGCCACCACCACCAAAGTCTGGAGACATTTTTTCTTTGTGATTTAAGAGAAGGTCTTATTTTGTAGCCGAGGCTGCTGGCACTCCCCTGTCCTGCCTCCTGGCTGGGATTATAGACTTGTACCACCATACTGAGATTAAACTAAAACCTGAGAGATGGCTCAGATATCATGAGCATTGACTGCTCTTGCAGAGGATCTAGGTTCGATGACCAACAATCACGTGACAGCTCACAGTCATCTGTGATCTCCAGTTTTAGGGGATCTGATACCTTCCTTTGACGTCCACAGGGACCAGGCACATACAGGGCAAACATACGTACATAAAGGCAAAACATCCATACAATAAAAATTTTAAAAAGCTCAAACTTAATGTGTGTGGACTTGCAAGTGTTGAGCACAGGGCAATCTTTGTGGAGCTGATTCTCATCTCCCTTTATGTGGGTTCTCACGGCAAGCCCCTTTACCTGCTGAGTCGTTTTACTTGCCCTGTGCTAAAACCTTTTTAAAGATGTCATTATTTACATTTCTCTCCATATCAGCACTCAACAGTTTTACTCGTGACAGATGTAATCCAAATTCTGTCCTACCAACTGACCATGGAATCTTAATACCCCAGAACTCATTACTGTGATTTAACAGTTCCTTTAAAAAGAGATTCATATTAAAAACTCGGAAATTCAGAGAGGGGAAGTGAAGGCATTATATATTTGATAAACCTTTCAACTTAGTTTCCGTTACTGATCTATACATATTTACCAACCTTTGCGCTTCAGAATTTCGTTTTGTTTTCTTTTTTGAGACAGATTTTCCCTGTAGGTTTGGAACCTGTCCTGGAACTCCGTCTGTATACCAGGCTGGCCTCGAACTCACAGAGATTGCCTGCCTCTGCCCCCCCCCAAATGCTGGGATTAAAGGCGTGCACCATCACCGCCTGGCTTGTACTTCAGATCTTCAAATTTATTTGTCCTTAACTTTCTTCCTTTCCCCTCTTCTTTCTCCTTTCTTTGTTTTTTTTTTTAAATTTTTTTTTTTTTTTTTTTTTTTTGAGGTAGTTGGGGTGGAAGCCGGCCTTATTTTGTAGCTCATGAAGTCCTGGAATTTATTCCTTCTACTTCAGCTGCCCGCATGAGACATTCAGCTTAAAATTTTCTTCTGAAAACAGTTTTGCAGCCGATCAGTGTCAGGAGAGTCACAAGCTCAAGACCAGTCTGTGTTAGGGAGACGCTCCTCATAAAGAAAATAACAAAATTCCATAAAGTTTTGCTACGTCTTCTTTTTCCTGACTGTTATTACTGTCAACATTTTGAGGCAGTTGTGTTAGGAAGCCCATTCCATCTTATCTACTTGTGACTCCATGAGCTCTCAAAGTCAATTCCAGCTCTACAGCTCCGAGATTTTATCTGCAGAAATGGAACCTAAAGAACGCTGAGGTTCAACTAGGCACAATGCTTAGCTTTTGAAGTGGCACAGTCCATGGTTTTGGTGGCCTTTCGAGGCTTCTGGAATTCAGCATCCAAGACACTGGTTCAATGCACTACGAAGGTAGGGGTGGACCGAAGCAGCACCGACAGGTCCTCGTCCTCCCCGCCCCCAGCCCCTCAAGGTTGCAGACACACAGTGACTCGCGGTGAGTTCCAGTTCTAGCTACGGAAGCCAGGAAGCAACCCGGGTGCTCCTCCAGCCTGATCCACAACAGGCACCTACCTCGCTTTCCTCCGCCGCCGCTTCTTTCAAGTCCGCGTCTCCATCCCCGTCGGTTTCCTCCGGGATTCCCTCAGTGTCGGCGGTCGCAGGGATCCCAGGAGTGGTCCTCATGTCCTCTGACTCCGCTGGCTCTCCGCCTTTGTCTGTGGGCGACTCCCCAGGGTTGTCCATCGCCGCAGAAGCGGGACAGAGGCCACGGCAGGACAGCCAGTTGAAGGAGTGAGACTGAGAGCTGACCGGCGGAGCCAGGGCTTACGGCCGGTCGCGCCGTGATGACGTCACCCAACGGCTCCTCGGAGGGGTCATTTCCACAAGTGCGTTGCTGGCCCGAGAGATTCCTTTAAACCGTGTTTGTTTTCAGGAGAAAGGAATTTAGAAGAGTGGATCCTCCGCTTTAGGGAAGAAGCGTTTTTTTGAAAGAGCGTGCATTCGTTTGCGGAGAGACTTCTTTTTCTTCTCCTTCCTGGAAATGCAATGCCACTTAATCTTTCTTTGACTACTTGAGCAAAGTCGGGGAACCAGAGAAAACGCAGTCCCGCCGCTTGCCTAGGGCTGAACAGCTTCCAGCAGGGACCCAGCCTTGTGTTTTTCGAAAAAGCAGAGACTACGGGCTTGTGTTCACCAGGGAATTGCTAGGGTTTCCCCTCTGTTCCGCAAGCATCTCCAATCCAGCAGCATTTCCAATGCTCTCATTCAACGCCTCAGTTATCCGTCACCTCGAGTCAGTCGCCCCTTCCCGACTACACTTTTTTCCACTCCATCAATACTCAAAATCAGGACTGGTAAAAATCTGACGTAAAAAAAAAAAGTTTGGTTAATTTCACGCCAACTAAGGGGGAGTTCTTCTGACCGTTCCACTGAAGCTGTTTAGGATGGAGCGCGAGGAAAACATTTTTAAAATTTTTTCATGTGTATGGTGTTTTGACTGCATGTATGTCTGTGCACCACATACGATCATGGTATCCTGGGAGACCAGAAGAGGGTGTCGGATCCGCTGGACCTGGAGTTAGACTGTAGTGAGGCGCCACGTGGGTGATGGGCATCACACCTGGCCACTCCCGTCCCCCACCCCCAACCTCCTTTTTTTGAGACAGAGTCTCACTACGTAGTCTTGGCTGGCCTGGAATTTGCTATGTAGACCAGGCTGACCTTAAGCTCACAGAGGCACACCGCTTCTGCCTCCCGAGTGCTGGGATCGCAGCTATTTTAAAGCTCTACGGTCTTTCCTCAAGGAGGCACCAGAGGACTGGATTTTTCACGTCTGGTTCTAGGTCTCTGCCCCTATTCTGTATTTAATCTATGAGTCTTGAATGTAATTGGAAACACAGGTGCGTGTAACCAAATTTCTCTGGCTTCTGCAATGCCTGAACAAATTGTCATATTTCCAGTCGCACGAGGTTCCAAACCTTTGGGAAGGCGATCACAACAGGAGGCTCCCACCGGTGTGCCGCGTGTGTTCTTTCCGACCTGTTGAATGGGCGAGCGCGCTGGGGTGGACCCCATCTCCGCAGGGCTCCGCTCGGCTCAGGCACCTGCACGGCGGCCGGAGCCCCGCCCACTAGGTGGGCAAGGAGGCGGGTCGCGGGGGCGCGGTGACGCGTGACGCCGGATCCCGGAAGTGACGCGACGCGGGGGGGGGAGGCCAAGGAGGCGGGGGAGGGAGAGGGGGTGGCGTCCCAGGCCGGTTTGAGGGGTGCGTTGCCCGGAGACGGAAAGTTTGGGAGCCGCAGCAGGCTCTGCGTGGCCCCGGGTGGGGGTCCGAGGAGCGGCGGCCCTGGGGATGGGGAAGGAGCAGGAGCTGCTGGAGGCGGCCCGCACCGGGCACCTCCCGGCCGTGGAGAAGCTGCTGTCCGGGAAGCGGCTCTCCTCCGGCTTCGGCGGCGGCGGCAGCGGCGGCTCCGGCGGCGGCGGCGGCTCCGGGGGCGGCGGCCTGGGCTCTTCCAGCCACCCGCTCTCCAGTCTGCTGAGGTGAGTGCGCGCGGGGCGGCGCGGGGCGGCGGGGCTCGCAGCCTGGACGGCGCGGGCTCCCTCGAGAGGTCGCGGCTCCAGGGGCGCGCGCGGCGCAGGCCAGGGTCTGGTGTCGGCGCTGCGGAGAATGGGGGGAGTGCCCAGGTGGCAGCCCGCGCCGCATGGCACAACCCGGCGTCACCCTCGCCCGCCGTGGGGTGCCAGCTGTCGCGTCTCACAAAAGCGACTTCGGAGCAGCCCGAATTCGCGGAATCCCTCTCACATCCTGCAGGAGCTCCCACGTCGCGCAGAGCCTCGCGACTCCCCTGGAGCACATTCCCCTCATTTCCTTCTCCCTGGAACTTGGAACGTTCCACCGGGCTGTGCGGGACCCGGCTTTTGTTTGTTTTTAAAATTGCTTCAGCATTTATCGCGCACGAGGTGTTCAGTCTTTGAGCCTCTCTTGGGCTTGAAGCTCTATTTGTCGTCAATTTCCTTGTAGTCACCCTAGCTGGGTTCGTCCAAGTGGCGTCTGCTCATTTTCAAGGTTGGGAAAGCCTTGTTTAGGAAACCGAGGTGCGTTCGACTTTCTGAGACCTGTTCGACACTTGAATCCGGGGCTGCAAGGGTGGGTCGTCACTCTTTGTCGCTTACAAGGGGGTTTGGAACGCTTTGTCAGAGTGCATGAAATGTGTTGGTTCAGCAGCGCTTTCCTAGCAGTTTCTTTTCCTTCCTTGTTCTTTTGAGGTTTTCAAGAAGTGGAAGTTCATTTAGCAGTGGCTTCGTTGGCTTCTGTTCCCTATTAGTTTGTGTACCTTCAGTTTGAGTGAGCTTGGAGAGCTTGGACCCAAGAAACCCAAGGCTCTACGAAACAGTCAGGTATCCAGTACCGAGTACCGACTTACATCTTCTCAGGGAGATTTTAAGAAGCATTTCAGAAAACCCCTCCCCTTCCTTTGGGGAGGAAAAACCCCATTCTGTTGGCTGCGATTTCCCCGGCCCCTTGAACAATACTGGCTCATAGTAGTTGGCAAAATTTGTTGAATAGATAGAAGTCCTGATTGGAGAATGATTGTTGTGTGCACGCCACAGAGGCTAGAAGTTGACATTGGTGTCTTCCTCAATTGCTCTCCATCTTCTCTCTTTGAGACTGTGTCCCTCACCAAACCTGGAGTTTGCTGATTGTGCTAGATTGGCTGGCCAGCAAGTCCCAGGGATTCCCCCGTCCCTACCCTCCCAGTACTAAGGTTACAGGCACATACAGCCATGTTGACTTTTCCCCCCTTTCCTTTAAACATGGGTGTAGGGTTCAAATCCAGGGGCTCCTGTTTGCTCTTTACGGACTGAGCTGTCTCCTCAGGGGATCATCCATCTCTAAATAAATTGATGGTAGTCCTCACTGTCAGCGGCTGGTGCTTCAGACTAGTGATAGTTTGGAAGTCTGAACCTCAGGGACAGTGTACTTCGGCTGACGTTGATCCGCCATGTATAGTGAGAGTGTTCCAGGTAAGCACACCCTGCTCACAAATACGGAAAGGAGACTTATTGGTGTTTGTGGGCTACCCCGAGAAGGTCCTGCTTGGGATCATGAGTAGTTGGGCCCCTTAAAGGTAGATAAGAATGGACTGGTACACCGCCGCCTTTCCTATTGACTGTCCTCCTCACACTTAGGTTCTCAGTCCCCACATTAGTGCCTGGGGACAGAGAACAGGTTGTCTGAGTTAGGGCTACTACTGCTGCCATGAGACACCGTGACAAAGGCTGCCTGGGGAGGGGAGGGTTTATCTGGCTGACCTTCCACATCCTAGTCATCACCCAAGGGAGTCAGGACAGGAACTCACACAGGACAGGAACCTGAAGGCAGGAGCCGATGCAGATGATACGGAGGGGCTGCTTACTGGCTTGCTCATCATGGCTTGCTCAGCCTGATTTCTTACAGAACTCAGGACTACCAGCCCAGGGGTGGCACCACCCAAAAGGGGGGCTGGTCATTCCCTCATCGATCACTAATTATGAAAATACCCTACGGTCAGATCTTATTTTCTCAGTCGAGGCTCCCTTCTTTCAGATGCCTCTAGTTTGTGTCAAGTTGGCATGAAAGTAGCCAGTACACAGGTGCTCAGCAAGTAAACATGGGATGCATTTTTCCTTTCTTTCCCTCCCTCCCTCCCTCCCTCCCTCCTTCCCTCCCTCCCTTTTCCTCCTCCTCCTTCTCCTTCTTCTTGTTTTTTTTTTTTTGTGTGTGTGTGTGTAGCCTTGGCTGCCCTGGAACTCGCTATGTACGCCAGAGTGACCTTTAGCTAGCAGAAGTCTGCCTGCCTCTACACCCCAAGAACTGGGATTAACAGTGTGCACCAGCAGGCTTGTTTTTAATTTCACCTGCAGTTTTGGTGTTGAGAGGTAAGGGGAAACTCCGCAGGTTTGGAGGTCCCTCTAATGAACTGATGAGGTCGTACTTGGAGATCTGCCAGGAGCGCCCTGGCCCCCAGACGACTCTGCTGGAGGAGTACAGACTTCGGCCCTCACATACAGTCAGGTTCCTGCTGGTGTTCCCTCACACCCGATGAGACGTCGCTGAGAGCTAGCTGCCATGTCGTTGAGCAGGACAGTGAGGTCTGTCGAGCGCAGTGGTTTTGCTTTGGGTTTCCTGCTGATGTTTCCAGTTTCTGCAGTGTCAAGCATGCATGGTGTCTCCCTTCCCTAGAGTCACAGAGCTGCTGGGCTCTCATTGGCTCCTGTGAGAAGTAGAGGCCACAGATGTCCGGAGCTTCCTAATCTCCACTCTGTGGCTTTTAGAGGCAGGGAGGACGTTTAGGCCCTTGTTACACTAGGTGTGTCGTTAATTAGGGTGACTGGTTTCACCTACCGAAAGAGGTTGAGGCCGTGCGTTTAAATAACCGCTAGGTCAGCATGTCCCCCTGCAGGTTTGGAGATGGCAGAGGTGCGTCCCTCGGTATCCAGCCTCTTTCTCTTGCCAGGAACCCTGAGCTGTTATTGGAAGCTGTGGACTCCTAGTTTGGCATCTTGACTTGTATCAGCGGGCATATCTATCCTTGCTCCTAGGTGCCCGACTGCAGCCTACCTTCCTCTGGCAGTTTAAGGAGTTTGTGGCTGCAGTGGATACGGTGTTGCAAATCACGCCTGTTGTTTCCTCATGTATTTATAACCCCCCCACCCCGTTCACTCCACAAAGGTTTTATATGTATTCTTTGTGTGTGTGTGTATGTTCATGGGGCTGCATGTATACATATGTGAAAGCCAAGGGTCAACCTTGGATGTCATTATTTTAGGTGCTGGTCCCCCCTTTTTTTGCCGTGGGGAGGAGTATCTCAGGATTCTTGTTCCCTTTTCCCCAGCCCTGGGTTTGCAAGCAGACACCGCTAGCACGCCTGATGTTTTTATTTGGGTTCTGGAGAATTGGACTTGGGTCCTCATGCCTACAGGGCAAGCACTTTACCATCTGAGCTATCCCCCCCAGCCCCTTTAGTATATCCTGAAGTTAGAAAATGCTCTCTTTTCTCCCTGCATGCCTTGTCTCTTAAGAGTCATCTTCTACTTGGGTCTTCACCTCACACAGTCTGCAATGGCTCTCGTATCCACAGATCTTGCCAGCTTTGGGGGGCACGTCCTGTAATATATAGTAGTTCACTGTCCCATCCTTAAATTGCCTCTCTTTCATAGCTCATCTCTTTGGTCTGTTTGCTAGCTAGTTTTTTGTCAGCTGGGGTCACACAAGCTGGGGTCATTTGCGAGAAGGGAACCTCAGTTGAAAAAAGTCCTGATTGTTGTAGCCCACTGTGAGCAGCGCTGCTCTGGATGGGATAAGAAAATAGGCTGAACAAGCCATATGAAACAAGCCAGGAAGTCGTGCTCCTCCGTGGCTTCTGCTTCTGTTTGCCATGCCCCTGCCTCAAGTTCCTGCCCCGACTCCCCTCAGTGATGGAGTGTGACCTGAGAGTTGTAAGCTGAAATGAGCCCTCTCCTGTTACCTTGCTCTCGGTCTTGACGCTTATCACAGTCCTAGAGGCCTGCCCAAGAACCTGCCACTGTCAGGTTCTCATGCTGCAGGCCTCAGTCACCAAGGGTGTATCTGAAGCGTAGTGTCAAGAAAAAGCATTTACGGACACCGCGTTCCCCCTACTCCCATGTGTTGGCTGTCCCTTATTGCAGCATAGAGCCCTAGACTGAAGTCAGTCAGTTGTCTGAATGCACAGTCTGCTGCCGCCATGGACTGGTCCCTTGATGTGTAGACGGTAACTACTTTGATCCCTGCTGTCTGTAAGATGAGGATAATATTACGGGCCGTGTAGATGCTGCCTTGGGTAAGAAATTGCACCACAGTTCCTAACACATCCTGTGCAGTCGCTGTTAACTGTCCCCAGCTTATCACGCTGTCTCTCGTGTTGCACTTGTTATGTGCAGATTGCTGTGTGAGACGCGTTTCTTTTTTCTGTTTTTTGGTTTTTTGAGACAGGGTTTTTCTGTGTATCTCTGGCTGTCCTGGAACGCACGCTGTAGAACACACTGGCCTCAAATTCACAGAGGTCTCTCTGCCTCCAAGTGCTGGGATTAAAGGTGTGTGCCACCACCCAGCGACACGTTTCATTTTATTTCATTTATTTTAGAGACAGGGTCTGATGTAGTCGAGGCTGGCTTTGAACTCATAGGTAGCCACAAATGACTGAACTTTTGATTCTCCATCTTCTAAGTCCTGAGTGCTGCTGTATTACAGGTATGTTCAACTGTGCCCCCACTGAGACACATTTTAGTGGTTTCTTTCATGCTTGGTGATCTCTCTCTTCTTTGAGAGGTGGCGGATTAGAAATCTCAATAAGGGCGTGGACCCGCTTAGGCAGACTTGTAAATGCCATTCGTTAACTGCTTTGTTCCAGGCCAAGCGATTGCTAGATGCAGCACTAACATATGGTAGCTGCCATGTCAGAGTTGGCCCCTCTCACTGTATGCCCGGCTAGCTTATAGTTTACAGTAGTATAGTATGCCTGGGACAGACCGAAAAGATG